GTCGTCGCGCGCGACGTATTTTGCCGCAACTCCTCGATGTACATCGGTTTATCGATTGGAACAGCGAAACTTGCATGAATTCAGGCAAAGACAGAAGTTAATGCCGAGCCATATCGAATTTTCTCGTCCCTTCAACGCTCAGATTCAAGCGGCCAGGCAGGGCGAGTCGTCTGTCGTGCCCGACGTCGCTCGCCATGCTCACCAGAGCGGCATATTACGATTGTCTTGTCACGTATTGGTCATCCCTTTATGGTGCTGTTTCTTTAGCTTTTCGTTTACATACTCTTTAAGTCATCTAATGCTCATTTACTGGAGAATCAGTTACTAGTCACAGTTAGTTTTTACTAGTCAAACGCGCATGTGTAGTAGTTGCTCAGCTTTGCCATTAATCAATTCACGATCGTTTTGCGAAGCCGCGAACAGGCCGTCAGAGTTCGATCATTGAACGTTCAAACCTGTGATGGGATGTGGTTGATGATAGCTGTTTGATAATACCACTTGACTGTCAGTGGCTGCTGTCGCTTGTCAAGTTTTTATGGCTGTGCTCAAGAAATATATTGGCGAAGCGCCGGCTGCGACCGTCCGACCTGAATAAGCAAAAGCAGAAATGCTCCGCATTAAGAAAAGCATAGTAAGCTGCAGCATGTGTGTCAGGAGTCTCGCTGCGCCCATACTTTGCGTCTCGGAGTTTTGCGATAATCAGCGTTTTGAGTGATCGGCGTTTTGAACAAAAAAGATAGTGCAGGTATCGCCGCTTCGCTCAGAAGGATTTCTTCAGAACGCCGATTCGCTCAGAGCGCTGATACTCCCAAGACGGCGATCCTACCAGAACGCCGATTCTCTCAAAACGCAAGCAAATGCGGCCGATCCTCGAGCATCTTTAAATAGTTCAATATCTTTTCAATTGCAAGCCACCGGCTACATTTCACATGTCACTTCCGTGAGCTTTTCTCGTTTCTTTCTCGGAAGTGAATCCATGACTGGTATCGCTAGGTATTGCATTTCCTTTGAAGGTCTTTTTGATAACCTCGCACTCACTATTTACTCAGCTACGTAGACGCCTTTCAATTATGCGTCATAAAGGACCGCCGGTGTCTATTAAAGTTCTTTCACAATCTTCGATAGTGTGATTGTTGTAATTTGTACCTAATTTTTGTAAAGGGGTGTAAGTGGGGCAGTAGCAGGTGGCGCTAAGCACCACCAAAGTCCGCGAATCGAACGTAGGATTAGGCCTTGCCCAGAGTACCCGAATCTTTCATTTTCTCGCGCAGAGTTCTATGACTCACTGACTTATAGGGGACGTGCAAGAAGAGGCTTACGGGTCGGTGGTCTTTGCTGAGTATGTAAGAATTTCCGCTCATCATCGACTTAATGCATGTTGAGATCCCTTCCTGCAACTATCTGAGTTACCTCTGAATTTCGGTAGTATATCTTGCCATGTCTCGGGAACATTCAAATCACAATGTCGAGAGGGAAACATTCAGGGTTCTCATTGGTGTTTTTTTTTCTGGTTCATCTATTCTTCTTATCAAAAGAGACCTTCTGCCTCATCATTCCGGCATCGATATCCCAATTGAAATTATTATTGAATCTAACAAATTTGATGTCTCAAAGATCAGCTGGTCTTACTCGGGAGTTGTCTTACTCCATGATGGTCAATGGGCGGAGTCTTACCTACCACTCACTTCATATATGCGACTTCTCACCACTCAAAAGCGTGTTCCTGGTTCGTTTTTGAGCTCGCGCTTCTTCGCCAATCGGTGAACGCTGCAAGTGCATTAGTTGTCGTGGGCAAGCGTGCGTAACAGAAAAATCGAGAATATCCGAGAGTCATAAAAGTTATTTTTTGGTAGAGGCCAGACAAGTAAACGATTCGTGACGAAGCCGTCTCCTCGCCTACTGTTCACCGCAACGCCCAGTTTCCATTTCTCAAGGTTTCTTGTTGGCGCGGCTGTTCCGCTACGAATATTCTCCACTTTGAATGGTGAGCGTGCGGTGTTAAGGGAAAGCAGCTGATACCAACAAGTGCAAACTCGTACGACCACGCCCCTTCTTTGGCTTATGCACGTACAAGCGCGCTTCAGCATGGGGTTGTGATTCAGGCGGTTTTTCCCCGCTTCTTTCTTGACTTTTCTATTACCTACCATCTGTCATTAGTATTGGAGCCGCACAACTCATCTTTCTACGAAGAAGGACGTGCTTTTATAGACGTTTTTTTGTTCCAATTTTCGATCCTTGCGTGCTCGTGATCGTTCCTGTGACTCTTGTTTTGGAAACTGACGTATCAATATGTGTGAACTTTGCCATATTTTCTGGAAATCACCAAAAATTCTGATTTGATTTCTACTTTATTTTTTATTCAAAGGGAAGATAAGTCGGGAGGTTTCAATGCTTATAACACACCTTGCCATTGAAGTTTGGACGCTGAAGAAGGAGGAGTCCTACTTGCTTTTGATAAAAATCTTTTCTGTTGCTCACTTTTCTCTCGTTTTTATGTTTTGAGTGCGCCCCCTCTCTACCCTTCCCCTTACCGCGCGTGGCACTTTTATGAAGGGAAACCTGCAGCAGTTTTCAGGAAATGGCTAGGAAAGTTTGGGAAGATGGTAGCTATTATAGGTTAAGGGATGGGGAAGGCGGTCGTACCAGAAAAGGGAATTTTGAGGGGTGGGGGTGCTTGAAGGTTTGCAAAAACTCTCCCAGCGGCAGGACGTGCGGTGTTTGAAAATGACCCCAAGGCATGCCTGGCCCTTTGAACCCTTTGCTTTCACAAGTGCAGAGGAAAAAACTAGTGAAAGTGGCCGACCGTGGAGGTTGTGGTCGGTGAATCTTTTAAATATGATCTTGTCCCTCAATTAATCGGTTTTTCATTGAAGTTGCGGTCTCTTTCAAAGGGGGGCGGAAAGGGCGGTCGGATACCAGAAAAGGAATTTGAGGGGGTGGGGGCCTGTCGAAAGGTTGCCAAAAACTCTCCCAAGACGGCAGGAACGTGGCAGGTGATTTAAAAAAATGACCCCAAGCATGCCTGAGACCTATTGAACCCTTCGCTTTCACAAAGGCAGAGGAAAAAACAGAATGAAAGTGGCCTGCCAGTGGAAGGTTGTCGTCGTCGTGAAATCTTTATAAATATGATCTGTCCCTCAATTATCGGTTTTTCAATTAAGATTGGCGGTCTCTTTCAAAAATGCAAATTGTGAGTTGGAGATGATGACGGTCTTGCGAGAGGAAATTGTTCGTACACTTTTACGATCGTTTTTAGGTGTCGTTAGTATGCGATTATGTGCGCACAAGTGGTCCCTTCGATGGGATACTCGGCTTCAGCCAAGGAGCTTCAATGGCCCACTTATTGTTGGCTATGGAGAAGAATGGTGAAATCAAACTCGGTTTTCGCTTTGCTATATTGTTTGCTGGATTTTTGAGCTTGTCATCTGTTCACGATTCCTACACATCTCAAACTTTCGATATTCCATCATTACATATTTTTGGTTCTAGTGATCAAATAGTAATGGCCGAAACTAGTGAGAAATTGAAATCGATGTTCAGTGATAGTGTAGCGATAATTCATGATGGAGGCCATTTTATTCCATCAATGACAAAGTACAAAGAAGTTTTTAATGAATTTTTGGAGAGATTTGTTAATGATTAATGGCATGTTCATGTGATCTCATTGTTGTGATAATTGTGGTTGTGATATCTTAACGATAAATCTTGTTACTATTTCTGCTCCAAACCAAGGATCGAGTTATTTCTCGATTTATATCTAGAACGTATTTTTTTCTGTACACTGCCAACTTGTTTTTAGGCTGGAATTGTACCCTTGAGGGGCTCTTATGTACTGCTTCGTGCAAAACTGGGATTACGGTCATTAGAACAGATGACCGTACCTGAAATCGATTCCCCCATTATGAAGCACTTTCGCCCCTCGAGGCCTTGGTAAGGCCTCGTTCTATTTATGCTTGGAGGTTCGGCGATCCGGACACTCGGCGATCTGATCGCCGTACGGAAACGTTGTGTCGGCGCGTCTCTCAAAGCCGAATCACTCAATCTGCCAAATCGCCGAATCGCATAGTCTCCGTAATCGCCAACTACCGACGCCAATCAATCGAAGTCTCTCATTTCGCCAAATCTCTAAACGCATAGTATGAACGCGGCCTCATACTCATTACTCTGATCCTGGCTTTGCACAAGGAGCCCTTTAAATGCCCTTCAAGGTTATTAACGTCACTATGATACTCTAAAGCTCAAATATTCTTTGTAGGAATGAAATGTCAATATGGGAAATTGCATTAGTGAAGACGCGCAGATAGGGCACAAGGACTTTTTGAAGAATGTGAAATCCGATCCGGACAATCAGGTTACCTCCTTCAGAGTTTATCTGCATAGGAGGAACAAGTTCATCCATGGTAATCTTTTTTTACTCCATTTTTCTTTTCTTGTTCAAAATTAAATGCAGCTATTTCTTTAAGCTTGGTTACGAATATCAGCAGAAGATGTAATATTAGAACGATCTAAAACTGATGTAGTGGTCTGGCCTTTACAGTATCTTCGACGTTATGGTTATACATCAGCTGGTACGTTGGTTTTAGCTGTCACTCTGCTGGTTGTCAATCTTGTCAGTGTCCGTTGTTTCTGGGGAGCAGCTGTCCTCTTGTTGCTACCATGTAGTTGCTGGTTCAGAGCCCGACGGCACACCATATCACGGGGTTCCCAGCGACTGTGTTCCTTTATCGCACGCTATAGCTTGAGCTGCGCTCATACTTTGCATCGTCGTTTTCAGCGTAGCGTTTTATGAAAGAAAAAGCATAGGTATAGGTCTAGCGTTCTAAGGATTGGTAGCGTTTTTGGGAGAAAAATTACTGCATTGAGCAAAAAGGAATGTGTAGGGATCGATTTAGCGTTTTGAGCATTGTGAGCATTTCAGGCGTACACGCTCAGGTTGACGGCGTTTGATTGATATCAGTTCCATCCTGAACAGCTCCGCTGTGTCGCCATTGAAGATGGAACTGGTCTCATTTCAACATGTTCGTATCGTTCGCATGCCTCACGTATAGAGCTTGTGAGATACCCTCACCCCTTTTTGGTAGTCTACGTCGAAAAAACATTAGGTTATCACAAAAGTTCGTGACTTTAAAAATCACGTATTAAATATTTTCGCAGTTTCGCGATCCAGTTATGTGGTCTATGGGAAAAGTGCTAGGTGAACATCCCACAGTTGCTTTACCGTCCCTCGCAGTCGCTGTTCTCATATCCAAAACGGTAATTGAAGTTCATCGTTTTTGTCACACCTCGCTATATGAAAAGTCACAACCTGGCTGGAGCCGCACGCGGCATTTGCTCCGACTTTGGTCCTAATGCGACCTTCCGTAGCACGGCGTTGGAATGGTCCGATCGCTTTCGCTTTAGTGACTTCTACTGGGAGACAAACCTCGTCCAGAGAGGCCATCTGCCTTGGATTTGGACCTACTGCGTCCCTTGATTAAAACCAATTGGTACGAATCAACTCGCTATCTAGTCCTTACACTTGACTGTTCCAAAAGCACAAATGACAGAGGTCCTCACTCCCTCAAGAAAGTATTGAAGTTCGGTCAAATGTTTTCTTATCTTCTGACCGATACTCAAGGGGGGGGGGCATGTGGATACTTGTCTGGAACTTCGCTCCCGGCATACAGACTGGTTGATCAACGACTGCACTGGATGAAGTGTAGGTGTCCCTTAGTGACCCAATACTGCGACTAGATCCTCCAGGAAGGTCAGAACTGGTCGTGCTATCCCATCAATACAGTAGGAAGGTGGTACTGTGCTTGTGGTGAACCATTCATGGGGTTTACGGCAGGGAGTTTCTTCCTCTCAACGCTGTGGTAACCAGCCAGTTCTCCTGTCATTATTTGCAGAGGGATAATGAAAACCGCCATCATTTGGCCCCAAAATCCAGCTGTTTCCCTATTCAACCACAGCTCAGGGTTTGGAAAATGACACTGCTCGAGATCTTTGAGCTTAGCTGGTGAATTCCACCACAGTCTTCGTGTAGCCCTGACTTAGCTCTTTCTGATGCCATCTAAACTAATCCCACAGCGGCCACCTTCTGGGTGAAAAATACGATTCAAAGCCTCTAAAAAATGACCCTTCTCGACACGGAACTCAAAAGCTTCTGGAAGCAAGCCACTCACTCTTCGCTTGGTAATTGGCAGCAAGTTGCCGATGAAGGTAATATATATTGTTCATCAAAATTGCTTCTCACTGAGATAAACTGGAAAAAAAAATTCGAAAATGTCACGAACTTTTGGAACAACCTAATAGAAAGCGCAGATGAGCTATGAGACTCGTTCGGCAAGTCTAGGCAAAGTATTAGTCGAGACCGCCCCAATGTACATAAAGCTTGTGTAAATTGTCATATCGAACCCTCTCAGATCAAATGTTCTTTTCTTAAGAGTTCATGTTCAGCTTCTTCGTTATGCCTTGTCTTTCCCTCAAAATAATTTAGCGTCAAAATCAATAGTATTCTTTTGAGGAGTCTTCTTCTTTGAAAGTGGTCGGCGATGTCCTACGGGAGAAGGTCTTCACACATTCCAGAGTCATAACGCCGATGCGATATTTCAAGTGAGCTGGATTGTCTCTTTTTTGTTGGTATTGTGAAGGTTTCTTAGTGCCAGAAAGACACTCAGCGATACGAAGCGATAACTGATATCTGAAATTTCCAGCTGGTTCAGTCGCGAATTCAAGATACTGCTAATACTCACCATGCAGAAACAATGCGACGAAACGAGAGAGCTCGAAGTACTGGACCTACAATGGGAACAGGAGTGTCGTTACGCTGCATAAACCCTATACAAAGATACGGGAGCGAAGGTAAGTGGTAGAGCGGTTTAGGCAAAAACAATCCCCACTCGGTCACCGTGCTTCTTTTCACGACCATTCATAACGTTGCATAACGGTAGCGAGGGATTTGAGACCGCGTTCAGACTTCGCGCGCGTTCGGACTGCTCGATCGAATCGCTGTCCACGACGGGGAGCGCTCCACCGCCGAAACGACAGAATTCAAACTGCTCTGCATTCAAACAATGGCATTTTAAATTTTGCCGTAGCGGCAGTGCACCTTTTGGAGGTGGGCACATGTGGTTGTGGTCGCGCGATCCTGTCACGATCGCGAGTCGGAATGCAGTTCAAGGCTATAGATTTTGGTGGTTAACCCCATGGTGCCTCGTGCATCGGCTTCAAATCCGGGCCAAGTTGACAACCGTTGAACCTTAACTCTTCATCTGTCAAAAACGTAACTAGTTACGGGTCGTAGTTAGAGTACATGGCCTCTCTTGGGAGTTGGGGTATCTAGTCAAGAGCTGTGTTAGTTTTGATCATTTGAGCAGGCTAATATTCAGGTGCAGGAGTTGGGTCAGAATACCTAGCTCAACCGTCTGGCTACAATTCCTATCATCGCGGTTCGGCTCAGCGCCTTCGCAATATCGTAATACCTCCGCCGCCGAGGCCAAGGTTAGCTACCGCTTTGCATTCCGCTTCTGTCACAGAAGTTCTAGCAATTCTACCTTCAAGAAGTGTTGGCGAAAACGAATCCCCTTGCTTGCCTCCTGACAGTTTTCATCCTCATCGCCACAACACATTTGTTGACCAGCGTATCGTTGGAAATATAGTGTGAGTTTGACTAAATCATTGGAACCGCGTTTATACTTCGCTCCTCGAACCACTGAGTCGAGAGACTGCAACTAGCCGGCTAATAGTTAGACCGCTACTATTGCCAACTCAGGATCGTGCTGAGGATGGAATTTTTTTTGACCGTCGCAGCGGTCCACCCGCTAGCCATGTAGCGCGAGTTTGTCACTCCGAATCGCGTTACTGAATCACTCAAGTTTGGAAGTATGAACGCAACCTATAGCTGTATTAGGCAGTATATGCATCAGCGTTGAACATTTGTAGTTCGGAGAATACAAATCCGTCAGCTGAAGACGATATATCGCGAAGAAGAAGCTCTACGGCCAGTCAAATATCGTCACGTGCAGTGTTCTCTGTCCCTTATGTGAATATTTCTCCCCAGGAAGTTTTCAATGATGGTAAGATCTCAATGGTTATGATTTAATAGCTTTGTTACTGAGGCGATCTTCTTTTAAGCTCCCCTTCCACCAAGATCTCATGCAATTTCTACGTCAAACAGTCAGGGAAGTCTTCCAGGCACGCCCACGCACACTGTTTTTCCACTAAGATGGTATGTTTGTTTGAATGCCTCAATACTAAGATGTGCTTCAGTCGCTCCTATTGCTTTATCGATTTTTTTTGTAGACCTCCTGTTGAGTCTAAAGTTTGGATACGTTTTGTATTTTCTCCTTTTCTTGCTTATTTCTGATCTTCTTTAAAGTTCTTTCTCGATTTTCTTCCATTCTTCTACTTATTTTTTTTGCTTTTTTTGCCCGCAGCACTTACCGCCGTATTTAGCTGTTTGTTTTTCGTTGCCATTTTTCTTCAATATTTGCGGAGCCTCTCCTCTCAACATATCGCACCCTTTTCTGCTTGTTAAAAAATTGGGGGAGTGGCAAGTGGTACGCTTACCACGCGCGCGGTTCGGGGTTCAAGTCATTGTATAGGCCATTAATAAGCCAATGTGGTCCTGAATGAAAGTATAATTTTCCCAGAAGGGACTGATCAGCGGCGAAGGTTTTATCCCTAGCCTTCAATAACAAATTACCCGATGGAAGAAATCTCCGTTTTGTAAAAGTTGCCGGGCATGGATCCCGGAGGTTTCCTCACACTAAAGGCCTTGATTACTATTACTCCGTTCATCTTCTTCCTCCCCTTCTCTTTTTTCACTTCCGTCATCTTGTTCCTGCTCTTCAGCACTGCCCCGCTTGATAGAGAGGTTGACTCTTCTGACTCGATGGCACTATGTCTGTCTGGTCGAGTTAGGCGCCAACTATTCTCAAGTTCCCATTAAGCGCTGATTGTCCATCCGTGGCACGTACTACCGCTTCGTACTTGTCATCTTCAAAACTCGCTAACATCTCTGTTTCCTTTCCAAAATCATGTCTCATGGTGTGTTACCGTGCCAGTCATCTGTCATGTGCATTTTCAGCTGTCAGCGTTCTTACCTCTTTACCCTCTCATCGATCAATCTCAATCGCCCTTGCGTTCCTTCCACGCTTCCGTCTCTACCCATTCAGTACACACTCGAAGTCTTCTTCTGGATTTCCGTTCCCCTCTGCTTCATTTTTCATCTTATTTCTTTTACTGTTGCATCAGAGCAAAGTTTAGGCATAGACAGCTGTTTCCACTATTTCGTATATATTCTGGGGATCAAATCTTGGGTCAAAGTTTGCATCGACCAACTCCATCTGTCCGGAGATATTTATTTGACACCAAAGTTGTCTGCATAAATAGGAAATCCATTTTCATACTAGATGAAGCATAGTTCCTTATAGGAGGGCAGAACCTCAATAGTTCTTTTTCAAAACCTCAATAGTTTTGAGTGAACGTCAAATTCAAGTCAGATGCACACTGAAGTATTCAGACCACGTCCTGGAGTGAGGGAACAGTACCCTTTTTTTAATGCGACCCCAAAGTCATCGAACAGGAGAGCAGGGACACTAGGCCTCCGAAAGCTTTCTTGAGTAGAAAGGACAAATGGAGTGTCGGAGTTACAGCACTGCCCAGTAGAGGGGGAGTGGGACTGTGGGGCATGAATTGTGAGTTCAACTTAGGTTTGGGGTATAAATTGTGAGTTTGCTTCAGGTTTGTTAGAGGCATTCTGTCGCGACAGCTGAACAGATGAGTATGGCTATTCTGGCTTTTATATAGAATATCAAATATTTGAGTCTCTTGAATAGGGACACTGGAGCGGGTTCGACCAATGTGCTTTGCTACACGAAGCCCATTTCTCCTCCTGTGGTGCCTGTAAGTAACGACAACTCGTTAGCAGTTGATGTGTCGCAGATTCCTGGCAGATATGTCAATATCACAGAGGTGAGTTACTTCTTCATTTGAGACCAATACTGAAAAGCTAAAAAGGCCTAAGAATCTCGGAGTAATCATCAGTCTGTTTAGGCTGGTGGACGACCGCTGATGGAACGTGATGGTACGAATTCCCCTCGTCCACTAAACTATGCAGAAGTTGGTGTAGGTTCGGAGCCGGAAAGGGTTCCAAGCAGGTAAATAGGGAACCGTCTCAACGTAAGGCAGCGTTGAGACTTCGCGATGACGCGCGTCGACGCGCTGTAATGCACTGCAATGCGCTGCTACAATTACAACTGCGCTCCAAAGCTATAGACGCGAACGCAGCCGTAAACGGCTGGCGCCGATTGTCTTCAGTCTGCGAACGCTCGATCGGTGAGCGCCGGCCGCTTATGTTTCGAGAGAGTATGGGGGAATAGGAGGGTGAGTGTTGCCTAGTCACACAGACGTATTGGTCGGCATGGGCATCTGCGGCTGCGCTCGCGTCTAAGGCTTCGGAGCGCTATTGTCATTGTACCGCGTCAACGCGTGTTACGGTGCATTACAGCGCGTCGATGCGCATTATCGTAAAGTCTGAACGTCGTGTAATGTAATGAAATAGCCGGCACCTCTGTGTTCAGATGTTCTTCTGTTGGTCAACGCGCTGATATAGAAAATGGTGCAGTGAACTATACACTAATTGATGCTGAACGAACCCAAGCTCTCCAAGCAGCGAATGGAGAGCGTAGACGTAATCCCACGGGGCACTGAAGAATGACTTTTGCCATTCTAAAACATGGCACTGTTTAGCCCATCATATGCTTATCACTTCTGGAAAACGTCAGGGGATTCCTGATTCAGACATCAGTTTCTTCGTCTTATTTAGCTTGTAAATTGTTCATCGCTGTTATTTTGAAAGCTGTCGATACTAGGGCAGTCAAGCGATCTTACTATCATGTTTGTAGAGAGATCAATATATTCGTCGGTAGCAGTTGGTGTGCTGAGCAAAATAGCCCTCTGAACTCCATTTTTAGGCATGAACTTAAGAGCTGATGCAGAGCTGTAAATTACTTTTTTTCTTCTGCTCCGGAAGGAGCTGAGATGCAATTTGGCTTAGTGGGGGCAGTTTGCCTTTTTTACTACCGATACCTCCCAAGGCGACATGTAAATCTTGTGAAGCCATACGATAGCAGAAGCTTCGCTTATACTTGCAAAGAGACTTGCCAATGCAAAATGTCCGAGAGGTACGCAGGTCCGCATCAGTAGAAGTGCTGCACTCACGTATTTGAAAGTGTGCTGAAAGGAGACTAGTGTCTTGTGATAATCCTTATGTCTCCCGCCATTTGATACGCGAGACGCACGATACAGTGGCGCCACAGGGCCAGCCGTACGTCTGCCTATAGCCACAGTCTATGATCAGACGGGTGGCTGTGTGGCGTGTCGCGTATCGAATCGGGTGGAGACAGGGAACACCAAGCTATCGCGAGCCTTTTGCTTTATTGTGGTCTGCTTTCAAATGGAGGTAGCACGACACTTTCACTGATGCGAACATGCCTACTTCGCTCGTGAGAGAGGACCCGCCTCACAGGTTCTGTTCACTGAGTCTCTGAATAAGCCTAGAGTTGCAGCGCTCCGCATTGGCTTTTTACGTTTCAGGCAGCGTTCAGACTTGGCGACCCGCCGTGAATCGACTGGACCGCTGCTACAATTTTAGCACGTTACAGCGTGTCGTCACGTGTAATCGGGAAGTCTGAACGCTGCGTCAAACCGCATACATTCATAAGCGCCTGTGGCGGTCACGATGGTTCCATGACACTAACTTTGTTCGTCCAAGCTCGCCATTTGGTGGATCATAAGCTTTTCGCAAGAGTGGGTTCATTACCTAATCCCGAACCCGAGTTGTCATGAGCCAACCATATTGTACATGGCCTTTTGCAGTTTTTTTTAATCCCGTTGAATTCCTTCCTTTTGTTACGTTTTCGCTCAATTGACATTTCCATATTTGGATACTTGTGTTCTTATTTTTCCTAGCATTTTTCTTGCTTATTTTTTGTCAGTCTTCTATAACATTTCCGCTTAACCTGGTGCCTTATAACTAGCCTTAATTTTTACCCTGTCTATCTCGCCGTTTCATAGATGCCATTTTTTGTGTGCTGGTATTTTAATCTTGTCAGCTACCACGTTATTTGTGCCATTTGTTTCCTCAAATCAGTATTCGATTAGCCGCTGTCATAAGAGTATGGTCATCAGTTATACCTCGTTCACAGAAAGCTCATAATTTGTGCCTTACTAGTCACGTCAGTCATGTCATCACATCGAGATCTAGCCAAAATTAGGCTAAATTCCTGGCTTTACAAAAAACTGATCGTCATGTGTGTGTGCGTGCTTTGCATTTCCCGGTTCATTGTTATGTTATATCTTGATATTTTCTTGAACATTCATGTTTGTTTCCTTGTTTGCTATAATCAATGAAATTTTTTATACAAAATATTATTGACTATTTCAAATCCTCACATGAAAAAATAGCTCTAAAACTGGACATTATTTTTTTCGTGATACATTTAAGGGAAGCACTGATTTAAGGTAATACGAGACACAACTACTTATTTTAAACACGTGTAATTGCATTTTCAGCATTTAATGTAAACCAGTTAGACATGAATGTGATACAAGATAAAATGGGGTCAAATGTCATTATAATACAAACATCTAATTCGCACCGGTCTAAGCGTTTCCCGCTGGAAGGCCGCACATAGAGCAGTCCGGACGTTGCTCTGTGTTCTCGAATGTGCAATGCTTACAAGACCACGTCGTCGTGACAGCTGATTCATGACCTACAAAAGAGGAATTACAGTCCATCATTACGGACTGTCGGGGCGGCACAGCCGCGCTGCAATGTGACGCGGCTGCGGCTCGGTGACGGTGAATCAGCTGATTTCGATGGAATTCTGCAAATTCCCACTTTTTCAGCTCTTCAAGCTTCTAAAGTGGAAGGTGAGTTATTCTGAACAATTTTGAATTGTACTGGCTCTGATTTCCTTTATTTTTATGTCGATTATTATGCTCTTTTCCTTGTATTTTGCCTTATTTCAGGCATTTATTCAAATGGCTTGCATTCTTTCAGATTCATTCAGAGTCAGTACAATTTAAATTGTTCAGAATAACTCACCTTCCACTTTAGAAGCTTGAAGAGCTGAAAAAGTGGGAATTTGCAGCCGAATTCCATCGAAATCAGCTGATTCACCGTCACCGAGCCGCAGCCGCTGTCGCGTCACAGTGCAGCGCGGCTGTGCCGCCCCGACAGTCCGTAATGGTGAGGACTGTACTATAGTATTGTTCTGGACCAGTGATGCAACAATTGACCATTGCAAGGAAGCACCAATGGCTCCACATGTTGAACGGAGAACGGACCATGACCAACGGGGAGCGGTGTGGGGAAGGAGGGGAGGGACTATACCACTCGAACCTTGATCCTTGACTGCTCATATGAAACGTAAGTCCAGGTGTCACTGGTATTCTAAGAGCTGGGCGTAGGTCAATTCTATAAGGAAGGGAGCAATGGAAATTTAATGCTCATGGAGGTCTTATGAGCTGAAATCTGATCCATTCTGTGGGGGATAAAAACCGTTCTACAGAGGGCATTAACAAGGAGACCAAGATTCTAATCAATTCTAAGCGCTGAGCTCTGTTCCACTCCATGGAGGGTGGGGGTGGGGGGGGCGATAGGAACAGTTTGCTCACGATTCGCTGAAATCTGAGGTTCGGTCTGTTTCGCAGAGAAAAACACAAGATACTCCGCTAATCGATGTTCTGAGAGCTACCCTCTGATCCATTCTAGGAGGTGGTGGAGCATAAAAACATAGGTCGCTCGGGAAGTGCTCAAACTTGTGCTCTTGGTCCGTTCTACACAAAAAAATAACAAGACACTTCGCTCTTTGGTTTTGTAAGAGCTGAGATCCGATCCATTCTACAGGGTGAAAGGACAGTGACAAAGACATCGCTCATAGAGGGCGCCCCTACCACTCCTTTTGGCACGGAGTGACCGGGTAAGCGGAACCCAGAGCAAGCATATCAGACATAGTTTCCATTTACCTATTTTCAGAATATGACAAACGCGTGCGTGGTCAGCGTGGTGGCTAGTTTTTGTACATGGCCGCTACGTGGATCTCTTGCCCTGCACCCTAGTGAAGTTGACATCTTGGAGATAATACTGAATACACATCACAAGACGAGATCGCAATAGAAAACACATGGTAGCGCGAAGCCCACCAATTCTTCAAATGGTTTTGAGGTGCACAGGGATGCATTTTTTGGCCGCGCTCAACTTGTAGGGAAGTGGAGATGGGGAGGGGCTGGCTTTTTGCACAGTCACTGTGGTTTTTGTCTACTTCCTGTTGAACTGAGGACGTCTTACTTGGTGAGACCTTTACACCGTTGTCAAATGTGAACGAAGCACACGCTACTACATAACTTTACAGGAATTCAAACGAGACATCTGCAGTGATCGAAGGGAACCAGCAAAACGCTCCACCGAGCCAAACTGGGTCGTTTCTTTTTTACTGGACATTTGCCTAAAATACAACAGTAACTTACTACGCCCTTGCTCATGACACAGCGCGACAAGTTGTTGCCAATTGACTGTTTCTCGAGCCCATTCGATTGCCGCTTCTCGATCCTGGTTGCACACCGCGGTACAAATCACCTTAATAATCATCTATACGTAAGCAGGATTAATTGATGTCACAAAGCACAATTTTTGCTCATGAGTAATTTAAATATCAAGCTAAATTGAAGCGCTAACCATATGAATAGAGCTAAATTTACGCGAAAAGATCGAAAAGACCAAACCTGCATTTCAATCTCGCTGAACTGCACAAGATTATTAGTCATGAGGTACAGCAAGAAGTGGAAGTTTGTGGCTTCTTCGAGGAATTGATTGAGAGAGTACTCGGCACAGTAGGCACTCAAATTAGCACCACCCTGAAGTTTTCAAGTAAGCTCATTCCCTAGAAGGTATTAAAAATATGAAATAAGAAGCGGTTGTTCGCGAGTAAGAAGCAAAAGAGATGTCGGTGGCGGGGCAAACAGTAATTGGGCCGCGCGCTTGACACAAAATTAGGTTACTTAGATGCAGGGAAAAATCAGGTTCAGAACGGGAAGATTATACGGTAAACAGCTTCTGGCGTGTGAGATGCGCGAAACCACTCGCAATGTCGAGACGTGCACTAGTATTGTGCACAATCTTGATTACGAATACACAGCTCGGTGCGCAAGTCGGCTGATGGGGCATCTCGAGCACTCTTTCTGTAAAGGAGGCGTAGTGGAGAAGAGGATTTTGCCGAAGGCACAGAGCTCCAGGGTAGGTCCACCAACTTCTTTGTGCAAACAGCGCATTACGTTACCCGAAATCGCACGAGGAGTCCTTCAAATGCTCTCTCCCATCTAGCCCTCCCCCTTTTCATCATTTGTTCTCAGACAGCATATAAACAAGGAAAGAAAACGAGGACGATAATGTAGAGGGCACTAGAAACGAGGCTATGCTTCTGTGGAAGGCGAAGCGTACATCAGGGAGGAAAAGGTAAGGAAAGTCGTTGAAAAGGTTATACTCTCGTTACAGCCTGATCTAAGAATGGAGCTGTTGCACAAAGTTCTGCGCCGACTTTCAAGAATAAACTAAGGCAGCCGCGGCGAGAGCTCCACAGACTGACTGCGCATTCAAAGGCCACAGATGGTAGAGGGAGTTTGCTTTACCTGTGTGGTACCCATGGAGTCCCTGTTTTCGATGTTGAAACGAGCCACAGGTGGAGGTGGCGGATGAACGTGTATCTGTGGCTCTTTGGGCACTTCCAGTCGGTTACGCAACCTATAGGAAAGCAGGTTTAATTTACGCAGTCTGAAGGCATATCAAAGATAAAAGCCTATTCACAAGAATGCTGAGTTTTGGGGCTCAAAAGTCGGACCACGGCGGCGCGCGACTCGAACCGATTCTTCTGCTCTACCCGAGCGCAGTTGGGGTTACCTTACGCTCCGGGCACTTTGACCTCTCAGACTCAATGGCTAATATGTGCCCACTTGCCTTAACAGCACTCACACCTTTTCAACGTTGATGAGCACCGATAGCGATATCGGCCCAGTGAACCGCCAAGTTCTGAAGGCTTTTACAAGTGTTTGACTGTTTTGTTGAGTAAACTGCTGTTTCTACGCGCAGTGCGATACGAAAGTTATCACCGAAGAAATGCGGTGTGGGCAAAAGTCGGACCACGGGCGGGACTCGAACCAGCAGTTATCAAACAATAACAGCTTAAAACTTGTAAAAAGCCTTCAGCCTTGCGGTTCACTGCCGATATCGGCTAACCGGCTCATCACGTTGAACGTGTGAGTGCTGTAAGGCAATGGCACAAATAGCCATTGAGCTGAGAGGTCAAAAGTGGCCCGGGTAGCGTAAGTGGTAACGCAACTGCCCGGTAAGCAGAAGATGCGGGTTCGAGTCCCGCCCAGTGGTCCGACTTTTGCCCACAACTCAGCATTCTTGTGATAACCTTTCGTATCGCGGGCTACTGTGCGGCGTAGAACAGCCACGTTATCAAACCCCAAAAACAGTCTAAAGATAAAAAGCGTTCTAAAAACACCGAAAATATACCAGTATAAAAACTAATAAACCAAACCAGAAGAAATTCCACTGGCAACGGTCGAGCATCTTTGAGAACTTCTGCACCATATTGGTTTTTCTCCTGTAAACAGAATCTCAAAAAATGCAATAATGTGAAATCCTTTTATACGACTATGACTCCAATCTTGTTCGAACATAAGCAGAACCTACAGTGAACTGAACATCCGTCAAGTACTGTGATTCTGTGAGTGGTTTCTCTCGTATGTATGCCAATTCAGGATGATTCGTTGGACAGAGAAGCTGGGCCTCAACCAAAGCAGTGCATTGGTTTGAAACCTGGAAGTCAATAAAATTGATAAATTCTATAGTAGCTGAGTATTGTGCAACCTACCTGGTACCCATGGAAGTTCACTTGTTCCTGTTCGTCTCCACTCGCAACAACTGTGACGAACTTGGAACCGAAATACCGGTCGGAGCAATATTCCGTGACATTTGGATGTAACGACTGGAGATATCCTGCGGTTATGCACTCCTCAGCAGACAAGAAGAACGCATGCTGAACATCAAAGTGACACTTAAAATGATGTGCACAACCACGATATCAAACTTCACAACCGGTTCCGAGCATTATAAGGGCCCATGAGAAAGGAATGAGACGAAAAAGCCGTGGCATTCTTATCAAACGTGTTCGTGCCGCCAGGATGGTACATCTGCTACGATTGCGGACCAAACTACCTTACGAACCACATCATGCACGGAAGATGGATCTCATATCGGGCATTCTACGATTCTGCCATCAAGCGAGTACGGGTGTTGGGAACTCAACCCGCGCGCACGCTATCTACCAAAACATCAGTTAAGGAAAAGAAAGAAAACGGGAATCAGGACGCATCGCTCGAGATTTTCTCATGAGCTCTACAGTAGCCGTGTGATCGGTTATCCTGTCCCTGCCAAACTAATAGTTAAATACAAACTGTACAGTCACTCTCATGACGGTCCCTGTGCGAGATGTATTAGTAAACATTCACTGCTCAAAAGTGCACAGGAATAGGGGTACGGGGTAGAGGAACAGGGCTGTAGGTTGGTGATACCCATGAGCAGTCTCCCGACCCCACCCGTCAACAAGTAGCGCATTTGGCTATGTTTAGGCCTGTGGCTAGGCGTGCAGCGGTGTATGAAGACGGCGCCCAGGCATCGCTACCCTCCGGCCTCATTCCTGTGTACTTTGGACGGAGAAAATGGCATGCTGCTGCGGACCCACTCACCGTGGATATGGCAAGGACCGGGATTCACGGAGGTCAGTCTATAGTTTGTCTTCAAGTAAGCTACTGAATGAAAAAGGGAGCAGTGAATTTATGGGAAGCTGTTCCATTATAAAAGCGCTCAATGCGGCAATAGCAGCAACCATCAGCTTTCGTGGAAAATAGAATACCAGCCGCTATCAGAAGCGAAGCTTATTATTCATCAAAATGCAGTTAAAGAGCGGCACAGTTCACAAAACGAGTAGCTAGCAGTTAAGAAGAAAAAGAAAAAAAGATACGAAAAAACGAAAGCAAAAAGGTTGGCTTCCCATGCAAGTATAAGTAATCGAAACCTGGATTTTTCTTGCAGAACTTTAGTGCAAAAAGGTTTTTCCTCATGTTGCGTTTACCTTATG